CATACGTATCATAACATCTAAAAATCATTCAGTATTAAAATACCAACAATATTTTAATATTATAAATCAGCCGGTTTTGATGGATGGCAGGCAGTTCTGATGGATTGGAGCCAGATTACCTAAATATGTGATGCAAAAAATTATTAAATACACGTTTACTTAGACGCTAAACGGCACAATTCGCCTGCTGTATCATAAAAATATACCGACCATTTTTACAACGATCCACATCGTCTCAACTAACATTAGGCAAAACCTTATTGGTTCGACCGATAATGGAAAAGTGCGCGTCTTATAGATGATTATTGAAAACAATCGCCTAATATAACCAATATTAGATTCTTGGAATGATTCATATCGTTTTAGCATTTTTCGAAAAACATTAACCAAATGCAGAAGAAAAATTGATGCAATTTTAAATGATAAAGTGATTTCATCGTCTTGCTTTGTGCTATAATTAGAAGTCAGTATTTTATGGATGCAAATTTCGGGCACATATGACATATGACAAATGCAATACATTTCATTTGCTCGACGAAAAAAAGCGCCAATTTGCATAAAGTGATAATTTCCATACGAATTGTTAACTTATATCAAAGTTTTGTTGTCAAAGATATCAGTGCAACAAGCGGTCGAATATGAATTGGTTGGTTTTAATAAATATGTGGTTTACTGTATGTTTATCATGACAGATTTTCCTTTCACACTTTCAGTTAATGTCGTTGGTACGGCGGTTTATACGTTCATTGATTGATTTTGACGATGAATGGTGGGAATAGATAGAAATATTAATTAGAGTGATTTAAATGAAAAGAGAAAATGGTCAGTGGTCAGACTATGCGAATATGATAAACGATGAATACATAACTCTGCTTGAATATTGGCAATGTTTCCGTTAGATGGCTTTTGTCATCATCCAATAATTAAAACAAAGGGAAGAAGAGTTTTTTTGTAAGGAATATGTGTGTGAAACAGTTTAAGGAAAACTGAGTGGAATTGGATGTTAAATTAAACTTTTTTATAAAGTTGTTTTTGAATTTTTATGAATATAACAAGGTTAAATTTTGATTTGAGAGAAATATTCAAAAATGGTTGTATAAAATATTCAAGAAAAACCAATAACTCCACAATCTCGTTCATCTTTTTGGGTACATAAACTATCCTTGGCTACTGTCCACAAATAAAGAATAAACTTCCCAGTGATTATAATCCCGGGCTTTCAATCGTTGAAACATTGTTATTGGAATGATAAAAGTTTCTTCGAAAGCAGTCCGGTAGTTGGATATAGTTACAATCTGTGATTATTTTGGTTCAAAAATACGAATAAAACGATTACATGAAAAGGGATTCTGAAATTTTGCTAGAGAATATATTGCTTTGCTTTCAATGATGTCTTCTATTTGAATAGTTCAAGAGATGAAATAGCGGGACAGGAAGCGGAATATTCGACATTTGTTCACGATGTGCAATTTTGGCTATTTATTGATTCTTAGATAACCCGAGAGTTCTCCAAGATTTTTCCTCATTATTATTGTATTGAAGAAGCTGTTAACATTTTGCAATTTCTCTTCCTAAATCTCTTTCTTTAGCAACAAATATGTGACTTTTCAGGTTTGCAATAGCAATTTACTGGCTTTGTGTCTTACTTTCGAAGGGAATGGATTTACGTTTTGGTGGAGATGAAATGTCAGAAGTGTTTTCCCCTGGAGATGATCCGAATAAGGTATAATATTAAAACTAAAATAAACACTTGTAATGTTCTTGGTAATATGTTATTAGCATGTCGTTTAGTGTAATTTGATGTTAAAATATAATGAGATAAATCAGAGTTTCTGCTTTCGTGACACTTTCTCAATATGATGTCATCTAAGGATGGT